AAAAAAAAAATCATGAATACGAATGTAAGATTTAACGATCGATGCCGAACAAAAGGGTGAAGATTACGCCAACAAGCAAGGGAAACACGAAAGAAATTGCACAATTTTGCGACACAACAGGACCAACTTCAGCGCAAAGATGTGCTGCACAAAGTTAGTTGCTTAGAAGACTTCTCAAAAACAAAACCCCAATCACTGACCAAACAGTAACTGAACAAACTTCTATCCAGAACTTGCGCCTTTACAAGAAAACAAAGTATAGAGTATGGATTCTACTCCTAAGGATCTCTATCCTTTTAGGCTGAGCCAAAAGTTACAGTAAAAGTTTAAAAAGTTAAACTCCTTGAAACTCCGTTTCAAAACTTGCAGCTCAATATTTTTCTAGTCGACGACGGTACCGAAGCCTGCACTCTGAGGTTCAACTGCAGTGCGCGTTAGCGGAGGCACTGCAGCCGTGACAAGTGTTTTTGGATTTGTTGTAAAATTTCTATTGTTTTAATCAAGCACGAGGTCGTAGAGGTAAGGGGCGTCACAAAATTCCTGTGGCTAAAATACTCTAAAAGCATATATTCCGTCAGATTACCTCCATTGAAACGAGAAACATATTCTGAGTAGTAGCGAAGTTGTCTTCTAGTTCTTCACGCATAACTTACTTGTTTATGCATTTAAGTCAGTAATTTAAGATCGCAAGGTCCTGTGTTTCCGATACAAAGGTTTTCTACTTAGCTTTCTTAGCACTTTCAGAAATTGCCACACACACTAATGCGTTGTACCATGAGGGATAGTTTATAAGAAACGTTCTTAAAACTGAAATTAACACAATAATTAGTCAACTAACTGCCTGAATTTGCAGGCAGTAAAAAGGAGCAATTGGAAATGCAGTTTTGCCGTTTGAGGTGAAGAATAACACAACGATATGTCAAAAGACAGCTGTAAGGATATTTAGTTGAAAGATATTTTGTATGGCAATATATTTTCACTGGCAATGTTTTCTAAATCAAGCAGCATATTGGTCTGAAAAAAAAAATCAGCATTTTACAAAAGAATATTTATTACTGGAGTGTCGCATTATTTCTGAATTGTTATGAACTATTTTGAATCATAATCTATGGAATTTTCGCTTCACTAATATATATTTTGTAGAGATGTATAAAAAAAGTCACATCAGAGGGCAAACTGTCATAAGAGAAAGTTGCAATTTTAGAAGTATCTCAGAATAATACTTTTGGACCACCAATGTTAACTGGATCCGCTTCTGATTCAGCTTTAGTAGTGAGCAATATTAATTTGTGCAACTTTGCTGATAACTGTAACGTTTTTTCCGTGTAAATGTTTTCTAAGTTTTTGACAGTATCATAACGGTTCTTCGAAGAGTTTCTTCGTAGGTCAAGGATAATTGAAATGGACTCTGTCATTCTGCTTTTATGAGGAAGAAACAATCTCTTTGAATGTTGAATTTAGTATTTCATTATGTCTTAAAAACTCAATCATATAACCTTTTGACTCGCCTGTGGACCAAACGTTCCGAAAGAGACAAATAGATTCAATCTGTCGTCTTTCTCAAAAAAGGCTCATCGCAGCGGTTCCTAAAGTGTGCAATATTACCTTACTGGATGGTGATTAAGGGTGTAATGGAGGGATAACCTTTTAGGTGTTTGATAGGCGATGAAGCTTTGGACAAAGACTGATTTGCCAGAGATGTAAAGCTGATTTCTTAGATTTTTGTAAGTTGTGAAGGCGTTTTATTAAGCTCAACTGCAGCAGTTCAAAAACTGTCTCGTTTTCTTAGGTTAAAGAATTTAGTGATGATAAACTGTCAAGTAAATAGTTTTTGTAAATTCATGGATTGAAAAAAAATGAAGATGAATATAGAAACCGGAGCTGACTATCGGAATGGTTTAGTACGGTAGGCGATAAAATTATTTTTGGAAAGGACCCATGGCCCAAAAAAAATTTGAGGGGTATTGATTTAATGAATTTATGAGACAGCGTCACAAATTTGCATGTCTCTGCTACTCGGTTTTTTTGAAAATGAAAGTTCTTCATCTCTTACTCAGACTTTTGAGGTTATGTAATTGTCTTTTTGAACAGGATTTTATGCCTGTCGATTGTCCCAAATAGTATTTTCTAAAAGTCAATTGAACAGACATGTTATGAGAAGCCGTTAAAAGGCACCGTGTAAATGCATCTCGCAGTCTTAGACAAAAACTTTAGACTCTCATTTTGGAAAAAATTCACCAGTTTTTGACAGTTTAACAGTTTTTGATTTGCTTTATGAGCATTCTTCCAAAGATACTTTGTTTATAGAAGTCAGGTTGGTTGAGGATCATGAAGATAAGAGTGATTATGAGACACGTACAGTAAGCTTGAAAAAACTAAATTTTACAAGTTATATGTTGTTTTATTACACAGGAGAATGATTGTTAAGGTGAGCAGTTAATAATGACACTTATAAAATTGTGGGCCCAGCTGTCTCTCCCCATATGGCAATCTCCAATCAAGCAATTTTTTAGTCTAATATGTCAAGAATATAATTTCTGTCCATAGTGCGTAATCTGTCTTTACTGTAACTGTGGTCCTGAAGTACTCCTTAAAGTCATCATTTTTCATGCTGCTTTAGTTAAATTATTTCTTCTACTATTCATTCTTTTTGCTGTTTTCTTATCATTTTTATTTTAATGATGTTTATCCCAACATTAGCATAGGTCAACTGAAAAAATCAAATCAAACTAAAGAACAGTGAAACTGCTACCAATCGGACTTCAACTGGTCAGATCACATCCTCTTCCAAATGAATTACAGAACCTAGGACACCGTCGAAGTGGACTTTGCGTATGAATGTCATCTTAGAAAAAAATCTTGGCTTTGTGCGAAGGGAGAAAATGTTCCATCTGAGACGTTCCACCGCAACGGTCACCTCTGCACTACAATAAACATAGCATTACGACGTCCTCAAACTCCCT